AGAGGTACTAGTAGTGTGTGTACTAGAGGTACTAGTAGTGTGTGTACTAGTGGTACTAGTAATGTGTGTACTAGAGGTACTAGAGGTACTAGAGGTACTCACCCCTACTAGACAGGATGGTCTCACTAGACACCGTGTGAGTCACCAAGTCGTACTGGAGCAGGCTGTAGTAGTAGTGTAGTAGTAGTGTGTGTACTAGAGGTACTAGAGGTACTAGAGGTACTAGAAGTACTAGAGGTACTCACCCCTACTAGACAGGATGGTCTCACTAGACACCGTGTGAGTCACCAAGTCGTACTGGAGCAGGCTGTAGTAGTAGTGTAGTAGTAGTGTGTGTACTAGAGGTACTAGAGGTACTAGAGGTACTAGAAGTACTAGAGGTACTCACCCCTACTAGACAGGATGGTCTCACTAGACACCGTGTGAGTCACCAAGTCGTACTGGAGCAGGCTGTAGTAGTAGTGTAGTAGTAGTGTACTAGTAGTGTGTGTACTAGTGGTACTACTAGAGGTACTAGAGGTACTCACCCCTACTAGACAGGATGGTCTCACTAGACACCGTGTGAGTCACCAAGTCGTACTGGAGCAAGCTGTAGTAGTAGTGTGTGTACTAGAGGTACTAGTAGTGTGTGTACTAGAGGTACTAGTAGTGTGTGTACTAGTGGTACTAGTGGTGTGTGTACTAGAGGTACTAGAGGTACTAGTACTCACCTCTACTAGACAGGATGGTCTCACTAGACACCGTGTGAGTCACCAAGTCGTACTGGAGCAGGCTGTAGTAGTAGTGTGTGTACTAGTAGTGTGTGTACTAGAGGTACTAGAGGTACTAGAGGTACTCACCCCTACTAGACAGGATGGTCTCACTAGATACCGTGTGAGTCACCAAGTCGTACTGGAGCAGGCTGTAGTAGTAGTGTAGTAGTAGTGTGTGTACTAGTGGTACTAGTAGTGTGTGTACTAGAGGTACTAGAGGTACTAGTACTCACCCCTACTAGACAGGATGGTCTCACTAGACACCGTGTGAGTCACCAAGTCGTACTGGAGCAGGCTGTAGTAGTAGTGTGTGTACTAGTAGTGTGTGTACTAGAGGTACTAGAGGTACTAGAGGTACTAGAGGTACTCACCCCTACTAGACAGGATGGTCTCACTAGACACGGTGTGAGTCACCAAGTCGTACTGGAGCAGGCTGTAGTAGTAGTGTGTGTACTAGAGGTACTAGTAGTGTGTGTACTAGAGGTACTAGAGGTACTAGTACTCACCCCTACTAGACAGGATGGTCTCACTAGACACCGTGTGAGTCACCAAGTCGTACTGGAGCAGGCCCTGTTAGTTAGTAGTTGTACTAGTAGTGTGTGTACTTAGTGGTACTAGTAGTGTGTGTACTAGAGGTACTAGAGGTACTCACCTCTACTAGACAGGATGGTCTCACTAGACACGGTGTGAGTCACCAAGTCGTACTGGAGCAGGCTGTAGTAGTAGTGTGTGTACTAGAGGTACTAGTACGTGTGTGTACTAGAGGTTACTAGTAGTGTGTGTACTAGAGTACTAGTCGTTGTGTGTACTAGAGGTACTAGTAGTGTGTGTACTAGATGTACTAGTAGTGTGTGTACTAGAGGTACTAGTAGTGTGTGTACTAGATGGTACTAGTTAGTGTGTGTACTAGATGGTACTAGTAGTTGTGTGTACTAATGGTACTAAGTAGTGTGCTGTACTAGTGGTACTAGTAGTGTGTGTACTAGTGGTACTAGTAGTGTGTGTACTAGTGGTACTAGTAGTGTGTGTACTAGTGGTACTAGTAGTGTGTGTACTAGTGGTACTAGTAGTGTGTGTACTAGTGGTACTAGTAGTGTGTGTACTAGTGTGTGTTCTAGAGGTACTAGTAGTGTGTGTACTAGTGGTACTAGTAGTGTGTGTACTAGAGGTACTACTAGAGGTACTAGTGGTACTAGTAGTGTGTGTACTAGAGGTACTAGTAGTGTGTGTACTAGAGGTACTAGTGGTACTAGTAGTGTGTGTACTAGTGGTACTAGTAGTGTGTGTACTAGAGGTACTAGTAGTGTGTGTACTAGTGTAGTAGTAGTGTGTGTACTAGTGGTACTAGTAGTGTGTGTACTAGAGGTACTAGAGGTACTCACCCCTACTAGACAGGATGGTCTCACTAGACACGGTGTGAGTCACCAAGTCGTACTGGAGCAGGCTGTAGTAGTAGTGTGTGTACTAGTAGTGTGTGTACTAGAGGTACTAGTACTCACCCCTACTAGACAGGATGGTCTCACTAGACACCGTGTGAGTCACCAAGTCGTACTGGAGCAGGCTGTAGTAGTAGTGTAGTAGTAGTGTACTAGTAGTGTGTGTACTAGTGGTACTACTAGAGGTACTAGAGGTACTCACCCCTACTAGACAGGATGGTCTCACTAGACACCGTGTGAGTCACCAAGTCGTACTGGAGCAGGCTGTACTAGTAGTGTGTGTACTAGTGGTACTAGTAGTGTGTGTACTAGAGGTACTAGTAGTGTGTGTACTAGAGGTACTAGTAGTGTGTGTACTAGAGGTACTAGAGGTACTAGAGGTACTCACCCCTACTAGACAGGATGGTCTCACTAGACACCGTGTGAGTCACCAAGTCGTACTGGAGCAGGCTGTAGTAGTAGTGTAGTAGTAGTGTACTAGTAGTGTGTGTACTAGAGGTACTAGAGGTACTAGAGGTACTCACCCCTACTAGACAGGATGGTCTCACTAGACACCGTGTGTGAGTCACCAAGTCGTACTGGAGCAGGCTGTACTAGTAGTGTGTGTACTAGTGGTACTAGTAGTGTGTGTACTAGAGGTACTAGTAGTGTGTGTACTAGAGGTACTAGTAGTGTGTGTACTAGAGGTACTAGAGGTACTAGAGGTACTCACCCCTACTAGAACAGGATGGGGGGCTCTTACTAAACCGTGTGGAGTCTACCAAGTCGTACTGGAGGAGGCTGTAGTAGTAGTGTGTGTACTAGGGTACTATGTAGTGTGTTTACTAAGAGGTACTAGAGGATACTCACCCCTACTAGACAGGATGGTCTCACTAGACACGGTGTGAGTCACCAAGTCGTACTGGAGCAGGCTGTAGTAGTTAGTGTGTGTACTAGTAGTGTGTGTACTAGAGGTACTAGAGGTACTCCCCCTACTAGACCAGGATGGTCTCACTAGACACCGTGTGAGTCACCAAGTCGTACTGGAGCAGGCTGTAGTAGTAGTGTAGTAGTAGTGTACTAGTAGTGTGTGTACTAGTGGTACTACTAGAGGTACTAGAGGTACTCACCCCTACTAGACAGGATGGTCTCACTAGACACCGTGTGAGTCACCAAGTCGTACTGGAGCAGGCTGTAGTAGTAGTGTAGTAGTAGTGTACTAGTAGTGTGTGTACTAGAGGTACTAGAGGTACTAGAGGTACTCACCCCTACTAGACAGGATGGTCTCACTAGACACCGTGTGAGTCACCAAGTCGTACTGGAGCAGGCTGTAGTAGTAGTGTGTGTACTAGTGGTACTAGTAGTGTGTGTACTAGAGGTAGTACTAGAGGTACTAGTAGAGGTACTAGAGGTACTAGTACTCACCCCTACTAGACAGGATGGTCTCACTAGACACCGTGTGAGTCACCAAGTCGTACTGGAGCAGGCTGTACTAGTAGTGTGTGTACTAGTGGTACTAGTAGTGTGTGTACTAGAGGTACTAGTAGTGTGTGTACTAGAGGTACTAGTAGTGTGTGTACTAGAGGTACTAGAGGTACTAGAGGTACTCACCCCTACTAGACAGGATGGTCTCACTAGACACCGTGTGAGTCACCAAGTCGTACTGGAGCAGGCTGTAGTAGTAGTGTGTGTACTAGTAGTGTGTGTACTAGAGGTACTAGAAGTACTAGAGGTACTCACCCCTACTAGACAGGATGGTCTCACTAGACACCGTGTGAGTCACCAAGTCGTACTGGAGCAGGCTGTAGTAGTAGTGTGTGTACTAGAGGTACTAGTAGTGTGTGTACTAGAGGTACTAGAGGTACTAGAGGTACTCACCCCTACTAGACAGGATGGTCTCACTAGACACCGTGTGAGTCACCAAGTCGTACTGGAGCAGGCTGTAGTAGTAGTGTGTGTACTAGTAGTGTGTGTACTAGAGGTACTAGTAGTGTGTGTACTAGTAGTGTGTGTACTAGAGGTACTAGAGGTACTCACCCCTACTAGACAGGATGGTCTCACTAGACACCGTGTGAGTCACCAAGTCGTACTGGAGCAGGCTGTACTAGTAGTGTGTGTACTAGAGGTACTAGTAGTGTGTGTACTAGAGGTACTAGTAGAGTGTGTACTAGTGTAGTAGTAGTGTGTGTACTAGTGGTACTAGTAGTGTGTGTACTAGAGGTACTAGAGGTACTCACCCCTACTAGACAGGATGGTCTCACTAGACACCGTGTGAGTCACCAAGTCGTACTGGAGCAGGCTGTAGTAGTAGTGTGTGTACTAGTAGTGTGTGTACTAGAGGTACTAGTAGTGTGTGTACTAGAGGTACTAGTAGTGTGTGTACTAGTGGTACTAGTAGTGTGTGTACTAGAGGTACTAGAGGTACTAGAGGTACTCACCCCTACTAGACAGGATGGTCTTACTAGACACGGTGTGAGTCACCAAGTCGTACTGGAGGAGGCTGTAGTAGTAGTGTGTGTACTAGTAGTGTGTGTACTAGAGGTACTAGTAGTGTGTGTACTAGAGGTACTAGTAGTGTGTGTACTAGAGGTACTAGTAGTGTGTGTACTAGTGGTACTAGTAGTGTGTGTACTAGAGGTACTAGTAGTGTGTGTACTAGTGGTACTAGTAGTGTGTGTACTAGTGGTACTAGTAGTGTGTGTACTAGAGGTACTAGTAGTGTGTGTACTAGTGGTACTAGTAGTGTGTGTACTAGAGGTACTAGTAGTGTGTGTACTAGTGGTACTAGTAGTGTGTGTACTAGTGGTACTAGTAGTGTGTGTACTAGAGGTACTACTAGAGGTACTAGTGGTACTAGTAGTGTGTGTACTAGAGGTACTAGTAGTACTAGTACTATAGGTACTAGAGGTACTAGTGGTACTAGTACTATAGGTACTAGTAGTGTGTGTACTAGAGGTTACTAGTAGTGTGTGTACTAGGTAGTAGTAGTGTGTGTACTAGTGTTGTGGTGTACTAGTAGTGTGTTTTACTAGAGGTACTAGAGGTACTCACCCCTACTAGACAGGATGGTCTCACTAGACACCGTGTGAGTCACCAAGTCATACTGGAGCAGGCTGTACTAGTAGTAGGGTGTACTAGTAGTGTGTTGTACTAGAGGTACTAGAGGTACTCACCCCTACTAGACAGGATGGTCTCACTAGACACCGTGTGAGTCACCAAGTCATACTGGAGGAGGCTGTAGTAGTAGTGTGTGTACTAGAGGTACTAGTAGTGTGTGTACTAGTAGTGTGTGTACTAGTGGTACTAGAGGTACTAGAGGTACTCACCCCTACTAGACAGGATGGTCTCACTAGACACCGTGTGAGTCACCAAGTCATACTGGAGGAGGCTGTAGTAGTAGTGTGTGTACTAGAGGTACTAGTAGTGTGTGTACTAGTAGTGTGTGTACTAGTGGTACTAGAGGTACTAGAGGTACTCACCCCTACTAGACAGGATGGTCTCCACTAGACCACCGTGTGAGTCCACCAAGTCGTACTGGAGCAGGCTGTAGTAGTAGTGTCTGGTGTACTAGAGGTACTAGTAGTGTGTGTACTAGAGGTATAGAGGTACTCACCCCTACTAGACAGGATGGTCTCACTAGACACCGTGGTGAGTCACCAAGTTCGTACTGGAGCAGGCTGTAGTAGTAGTGTGTGTACTAGAGGTACTAGTAGTGTGTGTACTAGAGGTACTAGAGGTACTAGTACTCACCTCTACTAGACAGGATGGTCTCACTAGACACCGTGTGAGTCACCAAGTCGTACTGGAGCAGGCTGTAGTAGTAGTGTGTGTACTAGAGGTACTAGTAGTGTGTGTACTAGAGGTACTAGAGGTACTAGAGGTACTCACCCCTACTAGACAGGATGGTCTCACTAGACACCGTGTGAGTCACCAAGTCATACTGGAGCAGGCTGTACTAGTAGTGTGTGTACTAGTGGTACTAGTAGTGTGTGTACTAGAGGTACTAGTAGTGTGTGTACTAGAGGTACTAGAGGTACTCACCCCTACTAGACAGGATGGTCTCACTAGACACCGTGTGAGTCACCAAGTCGTACTGGAGCAGGCTGTAGTAGTAGTGTAGTAGTAGTGTGTGTACTAATGGTACTAGTAGTGTGTGTACTAGAGGTACTAGTAGTGTGTGTACTAGAGGTACTAGAGGTACTAGAGGTACTCACCCCTACTAGACAGGATGGTCTCACTTAGACACCCGTGTGATTCACCAAGTCGTACTGGAGCAGGCTGTAGTAGTAGTAGTGTAGTAGTAGTGTGTGTACTAGTGGTACTAGTAGTGTGTGTACTAGACGGTACTAGATGGTACTAGTACTCACCCCTACTAGACAGGATGGTCTCACTAGGACACCGTGTGAGTCACCAAGTCGTACTGGAGCAGGCTGTGTAGTAGTAGGTTGTGTACTAGAGGTATAGTAGTGTGTGTACTAGGGTACTAGAGGTACTAGTAGTGTGTGTACTAGAGGTACTAGAGGTACCACCCCTACTAGACAGGATGGTCTCACTAGACACCGTGTGAGTCACCAAGTCGTACTGGAGCAGGCTGTAGTAGTAGTGTGTGTACTAGAGGTACTAGTAGTGTGTGTACTAGAGGTACTAGTAGAGTGTGTACTAGAGGTACTAGTAGTGTGTGTACTAGAGGTACTAGAGGTACTCACCCCTACTAGACAGGATGGTCTCACTAGACACGGTGTGAGTCACCAAGTCGTACTGGAGGAGGCTGTAGTAGTAGTGTGTGTACTAGTGGTACTAGTAGTGTGTGTACTAGAGGTACTAGAGGTACTCACCCCTACTAGACAGGATGGTCTCACTAGACACCGTGTGAGTCACCAAGTCGTACTGGAGCAGGCTGTAGTAGTAGTGTGTGTACTAGTAGTGTGTGTACTAGAGGTACTAGAGGTACTAGAAGTACTAGAGGTACTCACCCCTACTAGACAGGATGGTCTCACTAGACACGGTGTGAGTCACCAAGTCGTACTGGAGCAGGCTGTAGTAGTAGTGTGTGTACTAGAGGTACTAGTAGTGTGTGTACTAGAGGTACTAGAGGTACTCACCCCTACTAGACAGGATGGTCTCACTAGACACCGTGTGAGTCACCAAGTCGTACTGGAGCAGGCTGTAGTAGTAGTGTAGTAGTATTGTGTGTACTAGAGGTACTAGTAGTGTGTGTACTAGAGGTACTAGAGGTACTCACCCCTACTAGACAGGATGGTCTCACTAGACACCGTGTGAGTCACCAAGTCGTACTGGAGCAGGCTGTAGTAGTAGTGTGTGTACTAGTGTGTGTACTAGAGGTACTAGAGGTACTCACCCCTACTAGACAGGATGGTCTCACTAGACACCGTGTGAGTCACCAAGTCGTACTGGAGCAGGCTGTAGTAGTAGTGTGTGTACTAGTAGTGTGTGTACTAGAGGTACTAGAGGTACTCACCCCTACTAGACAGGATGGTCTCACTAGACACCGTGTGAGTCACCAAGTCGTACTGGAGCAGGCTGTAGTAGTAGTGTAGTAGTAGTGTGTGTACTAGTTGGTACTAGTAGTGTGTTGTACTAGAGGTACTAGAGGTACTAGTACTCACCCTACTAGACAGCATGGTCTCACTAGACACCGTGTGAGTCACCAAGTCGTACTGGAGCAGGCTGTAGTAGTAGTGTGTGTACTAGAGGTACTAGTAGTGTGTGTACTAGAGGTACTAGAGGTACTCACCCCTACTAGGACAAGGATGGTCTCACTAGGACACCGTGTGATCACCAAGTCGTACTGGAGCAGGCTGTAGTAGTAGTGTGTGTACTAGAGGTACTAGTAGTGTGTGTACTAGAGGTACTAGAGGTACTAGTACTCACCTCTACTAGACAGGATGGTCTCACTAGACACCGTGTGAGTCACCAAGTCGTACTGGAGCAGGCTGTAGTAGTAGTGTGTGTACTAGAGGTACTAGTAGTGTGTGTACTAGTGGTACTAGAGGTACTAGTAGTGTGTGTACTAGAGGTACTAGAGGTACTCACCCCTACTAGACAGGATGGTCTCACTAGACACCGTGTGAGTCACCAAGTCGTACTGGAGCAGGCTGTAGTAGTAGTGTGTGTACTAGAGGTACTAGTAGTGTGTGTACTAGAGGTACTAGTAGAGTGTGTACTAGAGGTACTAGTAGTGTGTGTACTAGAGGTACTAGAGGTACTAGAGGTACTCACCCCTACTAGACAGGATGGTCTCACTAGACACGGTGTGAGTCACCAAGTCGTACTGGAGGAGGCTGTAGTAGTAGTGTGTGTACTAGTGGTACTAGTAGTGTGTGTACTAGAGGTACTAGAGGTACTCACCCCTACTAGACAGGATGGTCTCACTAGACACCGTGTGATGTCACCAAGTCGTACTGGAGCAGGCTTGTAGTAGTAGTGTGTGTACTAGTAGTGTGTGTACTAGAGGTATAGAGGTACTAGAAGTACTAGAGGTTACTCACCCCCTACTAGACAGGATGGTCGCACTAGACACCGTGTGAGTCACCAAGTCGTACTGGAGCATGGCTGAGTAGTAGTAGTTTGTAGTAGTAGTGTACTAGTAGTGTGTGTACTAGAGGTACTAGAGGTACTAGAGGTACTCACCCCTACTAGACAGGATGGTCTCACTAGACACGGTGTGAGTCACCAAGTCGTACTGGAGCAGGCTGTAGTAGTAGTGTGTGTACTAGAGGTACTAGAGGTACTAGAGGTACTCACCCCTACTAGACAGGGATGGTCTCACTAGACAACCGTGTGAGTCACCAAGTCGTACTGGAGCAGGGCTGTTAGTAGTAGTGTGTGTACTAGTGTGTTGTACTAGAGGTACTAGAGGTTACTCACCCCTACTAGACAGGATGGTCTCACTAGACACCGTGTGAGTCACCAAGTCGTACTGGAGCAGGCTGTAGTAGTAGTGTAGTAGTAGTGTGTGTACTAGTGGTACTAGTAGTGTGTGTACTAGAGGTACTAGAGGTACTCACCCCTACTAGACAGGATGGTCTCACTAGACACGGTGTGAGTCACCAAGTCGTACTGGAGCAGGCTGTAGTAGTAGTGTGTGTACTAGTAGTGTGTGTACTAGAGGTACTAGAGGTACTAGAGGTACTCACCCCTACTAGACAGGATGGTCTCACTAGACACCGTGTGAGTCACCAAGTCGTACTGGAGCAGGCTGTAGTAGTAGTGTAGTAGTAGTGTGTGTACTAGAGGTACTACTAGAGGTACTAGAGGTACTCACCCCTACTAGACAGGATGGTCTCACTAGACACCGTGTGAGTCACCAAGTCGTACTGGAGCAGGCTGTAGTAGTAGTGTGTGTACTAGTGTGTGTACTAGTGGTACTAGTGGTACTAGTAGTGTGTGTACTAGAGGTACTAGAGGTACTAGAGGTACTCACCCCTACTAGACAGGATGGTCTCACTAGACACCGTGTGAGTCACCAAGTCGTACTGGAGCAGGCTGTAGTAGTAGTGTGTGTACTAGTGGTACTAGTAGTGTGTGTACTAGAGGTACTAGAGGTACTAGAGGTACTCACCCCTACTAGACAGGATGGTCTCACTAGACACCGTGTGAGTCACCAAGTCGTACTGGAGCAGGCTGTAGTAGTAGTGTGTGTACTAGTAGTGTGTGTACTAGAGGTACTAGAGGTACTCACCCCTACTAGACAGGATGGTCTCACTAGACACCGTGTGAGTCACCAAGTCGTACTGGAGCAGGCTGTAGTAGTAGTGTTTGTACTAGAGGTACTAGTAGTGTGTGTACTAGAGGTACTAGTAGTGTGTGTACTAGAGGTACTAGAGGTACCTGTACTCACCCCTACTAGACAGGATGGTCTCACTAGACACGGTGTGAGTCACCAAGTCGTACTGGAGGAGGCTGTAGTAGTAGAGTGTGTACTAGAGGTACTAGTAGTGTGTGTACTAGAGGTACTAGAGGTACTAGAGGTACTCACCCCTACTAGACAGGATGGTCTCACTAGACACGGTGTGAGTCACCAAGTCGTACTGGAGGAGGCTGTAGTAGTAGAGTGTGTACTAGAGGTACTAGTAGTGTGTGTACTAGAGGTACTAGAGGTACTAGAGGTACTAGAGGTACTCACCCCTACTAGACAGGATGGTCTCACTAGACACCGTGTGAGTCACCAAGTCGTACTGGAGGAGGCTGTAGTAGTAGAGTGTGTACTAGAGGTACTAGTAGTGTGTGTACTAGAGGTACTAGTAGAGGTACTAGAGGTACTAGAGGTACTAGTACTCACCCCTACTAGACAGGATGGTCTCACTAGACACCGTGTGAGTCACCAAGTCGCACTGGAGGAGGCTGTAGTAGTAGTGTGTGTACTAGAGGTACTAGTAGTGTGTGTACTAGAGGTACTAGTAGTGTGTGTACTAGAGGTACTAGTAATGTGTGTACTAGAGGTACTAGAGGTACTAGTAGTGTGTGTACTAGAGGTACTAGAGGTACTCACCCCTACTAGACAGGATGGTCTCACTAGACACCGTGTGAGTCACCAAGTCGTTCTGGAGGAGGCTGTAGTAGTAGTGTAGTAGTAGTGTGTGTACTAGTAGTGTGTGTACTAGTAGTGTGTGTACTAGTAGTGTGTGTACTAGAGGTACTAGTAGTGTGTGTACTAGAGGTACTAGTAGTGTGTGTACTAGTGGTACTAGTAGTGTACTAGTAGTGTGTGTACTAGAGGTACTAGTAGTGTGTGTACTAGAGGTACTAGTAGTGTGTGTACTAGAGGTACTAGTAGTGTGTGTACTAGTGGTACTAGTAGTGTGTGTACTAGAGGTACTAGTAGTGTGTGTACTAGAGGTACTAGTAGTGTGTGTACTAGTGGTACTAGTAGTGTGTGTACTAGAGGTACTAGTAGTGTGTGTACTAGAGGTGCTAGTAGTGTGTGTACTAGAGGTACTAGTAGTGTGTGTACTAGAGGTACTAGTAGTGTGTGTACTAGAGGTACTAGTAGTGTGTGTACTAGAGGTACTAGTAGTGTGTGTACTAGAGGTACTAGTAGTGTGTGTACTAGAGGTACTAGTAGTGTGTGTACTAGAGGTACTAGTAGTGTGTGTATTAGAGGTACTAGTAGTGTGTGTACTAGTGGTACTAGTAGTGTGTGTACTAGTGGTACTAGTAGTGTGTGTACTAGAGGTACTTTTAGAGGTACTAGAGGTACTAGTACTCACCTCTACTAGACAGGATGGTCTCACTAGACACGGTGTGAGTCACCAAGTCGTACTGGAGCAGGCTGTAGTAGTAGTGTGTGTACTAGAGGTACTAGTAGTGTGTGTACTAGTAGTGTGTGTACTAGAGGTACTAGAGGTACTCACCCCTACTAGACAGGATGGTCTCACTAGACACCGTGTGAGTCACCAAGTCGTACTGGAGCAGGCTGTAGTAGTAGTGTAGTAGTATTGTGTGTACTAGTGGTACTAGTAGTGTGTGTACTAGAGGTACTAGAGGTACTAGAGGTACTCACCCCTACTAGACAGGATGGTCTCACTAGACACGGTGTGAGTCACCAAGTCGTACTGGAGGAGGCTGTAGTAGTAGTGTGTGTACTAGTGGTTTACTAGTAGTGTGTGTACTAAGAGGTACTAGTAGTGGTGTACTAGGGTACTAGTAGTGTGTGTACTAGATTACCTAGTTAGTGTGTGTACTAGAGGTACTAGTTAGTGTGTGTACTAGGGTAATCTAGTAGGTGTGTAACTAGAGGTACTAGTAGTGTGGTTACTCGAGGTACTAGTATGTGGTGTACTAGATTACTATTAGTTGTGTGTATTAGTGGTACTAGTAGTGTGTGGTACTAGTAGTGTGTGTACCTAGTAGGTACTAGTAGTGTGTGGTACTAGAGGTACTAGTAGTGGTGTGTACTAGTAGAGGTACTAGTAGTGTGTGTACTAGAGGTACTAGTAGTGTGTGTACTAGAGGTACTAGTAGTGTGTGTACTAGAGGTACTAGTAGTGTGTGTACTAGTGGTACTAGTAGTGTGTGTAACTAGTGGTACTAGTAGTGTGTGTACTAGTGGTACTAGCTAGTGTGTGTACTAGTGGTACTAGTAGTGTGTGTACTAGAGCCTAGGATGGTACTAGAGGGGTACTAGTAGATGTAACTAAGAGGTACTTCACCTCTACTAGACAGGGATGGTCTCACTAGACACTCGTGTGGAATCACCAAGTCGTACTCGGAGGGATGCTGTAGTAGTAGTGTGTGTACTAGTGTGTACTCTTGAGAGGGTACTAGAGGTACTAGAAGGTACCTCACCCCCTACTAGACAAGGATCTGTCTCACTAGACACCGTGTGAGTCACCAAGTCATACTGGAGCAGGCTGTAGTAGTAGTGTAGTAGTATTGTGTGTACTAGAGGTACTAGTAGTGTGTGTACTAGAGGTACTAGAGGTACTCACCCCTACTAGACAGGATGGTCTCACTAGACACGGTGTGAGTCACCAAGTCGTACTGGAGCAGGCTGTAGTAGTAGTGTGTGTACTAGTGGTACTAGTAGTGTGTGTACTAGAGGTACTAGTAGTGTGTGTACTAGTGGTACTAGAGGTACTAGAGGTACTCACCCCTACTAGACAGGATGGTCTCACTAGACACGGTGTGAGTCACCAAGTCGTACTGGAGCAGGCTGTAGTAGTAGTGTAGTAGTAGTGTGTGTACTAGAGGTACTAGAGGTACTAGAGGTACTAGAAGTACTAGAGGTACTCACCCCTACTAGACAGGATGGTCTCACTAGACACCGTGTGAGTCACCAAGTCGTACTGGGAGCAGCTGTACTAGTAGTGTGTGTACTAGTGGTACTAGTAGTGTGTGTACTAGAGGTACTAGTAGTGTGTGTACTAGAAGTACTAGTAGTGTGTGTACTAGAGGTACTAGAGGTACTAGAGGTACTCACCCCTACTAGACAGGATGGCTCACTAGACAACCGTGTGAGTCACCAAGTCGTACTGGAGCAGGCTGTAGTAGTAGTGTGTGTACTAGAGGTACTAGTAGTGTGTGTACTAGTGGTACTAGTGGTGTGTGTACTAGAGGTACTAGTAGTGTGTGTACTAGAGGTACTAGTGGTGTGTGTACTAGAGGTACTAGAGGTACTCACCTCTACTAGACAGGATGGTCTCACTAGACACCGTGTGAGTCACCAAGTCGTACTGGAGCAGGCTGTAGTAGTAGTGTAGTAGTAGTGTGTGTACTAGTGGTACTAGTAGTGTGTGTACTAGAGGTACTAGAGGTACTAGAGGTACTCACCCCTACTAGACAGGATGGTCTCACTAGACACCGTGTGAGTCACCAAGTCGTACTGGAGCAGGCTGTAGTAGTAGTGTGTGTACTAGTAGTGTGTGTACTAGTGGTACTACTAGAGGTACTAGAGGTACTAGTACTCACCCCTACTAGACAGGATGGTCTCACTAGACACGGTGTGAGTCACCAAGTCGTACTGGAGCAGGCTGTAGTAGTAGTGTGTGTACTAGTGGTACTAGTAGTGTGTGTACTAGAGGTACTAGTAGTGTGTGTACTAGTAGTGTGTGTACTAGAGGTACTAGAGGTACTCACCCCTACTAGACAGGATGGTCTCACTAAGACACGGTGTGAGTCACCAAGTCGTACTGGAGCAGGCTGTATGTAGTAGTAGTGTAGTAGTAGTGTGTGTACTAGAGGTACTAGTAGTGTGTGTACTAGAGGTACTAGAGGTACTAGAGGTACTCACCTCTACTAGACAGGATGGTCTCACTAGACACCGTGTGAGTCACCAAGTCGTACTGCAGCAGGCTGTAGTAGTAGTGTGTGTACTAGTGTGTGTACTAGTGGTACTAGTAGTGTGTGTACTAGTGGTACTACTAGAGGTACTAGAGGTACTAGAGGTACTCACCCCTACTAGACAGGATGGTCTCACTAGACACCGTGTGAGTCACCAAGTCGTACTGGAGCAGGCTGTAGTAGTAGTGTAGTAGTAGTGTGTGTACTAGTAGTGTGTGTACTAGAGGTACTAGTAGTGTGTGTACTAGTGGTACTAGTGGTGTGTGTACTAGAGGTACTAGAGGTACTAGTACTCACCCCTACTAGACAGGATGGTCTCACTAGACACCGTGTGAGTCACCAAGTCGTACTGGAGCAGGCTGTAGTAGTAGTGTGTGTACTAGTGGTACTAGTACTCGTGGTACTAGAGGTACTAGAGGTACTAGTAGTATTAGAGGATACTAGAGGTACTAGAGGTTACTCACCCCTACTAGACAGGATGGTCTCACTAGACACCGTGTGAGTCACCAAGTCGTACTGGAGCAAGCTGTAGTAGTAGTGTGTGTACTAGTGGTACTAGTAGTGTGTGTACTAGTGGTACTAGTAGTGTGTGTACTAGAGGTACTAGTAGTGTGTGTACTAGTGGTACTAGTGGTGTGTGTACTAGAGGTACTAGAGGTACTAGAGGTACTCACCCCTACTAGACAGGATGGTCTCACTAGACACCGTGTGAGTCACCAAGTCGTACTGCAGCAGGCTGTAGTAGTAGTGTGTGTACTAGTAGTGTGTGTACTAGTAGTGTGTGTACTAGAGGTACTAGTAGTGTGTGTACTAGAGGTACTAGTAGTGTGTGTACTAGTGGTACTAGAGGTACTCACCCCTACTAGACAGGATGGTCTCACTAGACACCGTGTGAGTCACCAAGTCGTACTGCAGCAGGCTGTAGTAGTAGTGTAGTAGTAGTGTGTGTACTAGTGGTACTAGTAGTGTGTGTACTAGAGGTACTAGAGGTACTCACCCCTACTAGACAGGATGGTCTCACTAGACACCGTGTGAGTCACCAAGTCGTACTGGAGCAGGCTGTAGTAGTAGTGTGTGTACTAGTAGTGTGTGTACTAGAGGTACTAGAGGTACTAGTACTCACCCCTACTAGACAGGATGGTCTCACTAGACACCGTGTGAGTCACCAAGTCGTACTGGAGTAGGCTGTATGACTCGCGAGGGACCTCCACGGAGTCGTTGAGCCCTTTGCTCCAGGTGTACGTCATCTCAGTCGTGGGGTAGGCGTCTGGGGGGGGTGGAGGGTGGGGCACCACACACACCACGATCAGTTGCACGGGTTGCACGGGTTGCACGGGTTGCGTGGGTTGTGTGGGTTGTGTGGGTTGCGTGGGTTGTGTGGGTTGTGTGAGTTGTGTGAGTTGTGTGGGTTGTGTGAGTTGTGTGAGTTGTGTGGGTTGTGTGAGTTGTGTGGGTTGTGTGAGTTGTGTGGGTTGTGTGAGTTGTGTGGGTTGTGTGGGTTGTGTGGGTTGTGTGAGTTGTGTGGGTTGTGTGGGTTGTGTGGGTTGTGTGAGGTTGTGTGGGTTGTGTGGGTTGTGTGGGTTGTGTGAGTTGTGGTGAGTTGTGTGGGTTGTGTGGGTTGTGGTGAGTTGTGTGGGGTTGTTGGGGTTGTGTGAGTTGTGTGGGTTTGTGTGAGTTGTGTGGGTTGTGTGGGTTGTGTGAGTTGTGTGAGTTGTGTGAGTTGTGTGGGTTGTGTGGGTTGTGTGGGTTGTGTGGGTTGTGTGGGTTGTGTGGGTTGTGTGAGTTGTGTGGGTTGTGTGGGTTTTGTGGGTTGTGTGGGTGGTGTGAGTTGTGTGGGTTGTGTGAGTTGTGTGGGTTGTGTGGGTTGTGTGAGTTGTGTGGGTTGTGTGGGTTGTGTGAGTTGTGTGAGTTGTGTGGGTTGTGTGGGTTGTGTGAGTTGTGTGGGTTGTGTGGGTTGTGTGAGTGTGTGGGTTGTGTGAGTTGTGTGAGTTGTGTGGGTTGTGTGAGTTGTGTGGGTTGTGTGAGTTGTGTGGGTTGTGTGGGTTGTGTGAGTTGTGTGGGTTGTGTGAGTTGTGTGAGTTGTGTGAGTTGTGTGGGTTGTGTGGGTTGTGTGAGTTGTGTGGGTTGTGTGAGTTGTGTGAGTTGTGTGGGTTGTGTGAGTTGTGTGAGTTGTGTGGGTTGTGTGAGTTGTGTGGGTTGTGTGGGTTGTGTGGGTTGTGTGGGTTGTGTGGGTTGTGTGAGTTGTGTGGGTTGTGTGAGTTGTGTGGGTTGTGTGGGTTGTGTGAGTTGTGTGGGTTGTGTGAGTTGTGTGGGTTGTGTGAGTTGTGTGGGTTGTGTGGGTTGTGTGAGTTGTGTGAGTTGTGTGGGTTGTGTGGGTTGTGTGAGTTGTGTGGGTTGTGTGAGTTGTGTGAGTTGTGTGAGTTGTGTGAGTTGTGTGAGTTGTGTGGGTTGTGTGGGTTGTGTGAGTTGTGTGGGTTGTGTGGGTTGTGTGGGTTGTGTGGGTTGTGTGGGTTGTGTGAGTTGTGTGAGTTGTGTGGGTTGTGTGGGTTGTGTGGGTTGTGTGGGTTGTGTGAGTTGTGTGAGTTGTGTGGGTTGTGTGGGTTGTGTGGGTTGTGTGAGTTGTGTGGGTTGTGTGAGTTGTGTGAGTTGTGTGGGTTGTGTGAGTTGTGTGAGTTGTGTGGGTTGTGTGGGTTGTGTGGGTTGTGGGTTGTGTGGGTTGTGTGGGTTGTGTGGGTTGTGTGAGTTGTGTGGGTTGTGTGGGTTGTGTGGGTTGTGTGGGTTGTGTGGGTTGTGTGGGTTGTGTGGGTTGTGTGAGTTGTGTGAGTTGTGTGGGTTGTGTGGGTTGTGTGGGTTGTGTGGGTTGTGTGAGTTGTGTGGGTTGTGTGGGTTGTGTGAGTTGTGTGAGTTGTGTGGGTTGTGTGAGTTGTGTGGGTTGTGTGGGTTGTGTGGGTTGTGTGAGTTGTGTGGGTTGTGTGGGTTGTGTGGGTTGTGTGGGTTGTGTGAGTTGCGTGAGTTGCGTGGGTTGTGTGGGTTGTGTGAGTTGTGTGAGTTGTGTGGGTTGTGTGGGTTGTGTGGGTTGTGTGAGTTGTGTGGGTTGTGTGGGTTGTGTGAGTTGTGTGAGTTGTGTGAGTTGTGTGAGTTGTGTGGGTTGTGTGGGTTGTGTGGGTTGTGTGGGTTGTGTGAGTTGTGTGGGTTGTGTGAGTTGTGTGAGTTGTGTGAGTTGTGTGAGTTGTGTGGGTTGTGTGAGTTGTGTGAGTTGTGTGAGTTGTGTGAGTTGTGTGAGTTGTGTGAGTTGTGTGGGTTGTGTGGGTTGTGTGAGTTGTGTGAGTTGTGTGAGTTGTGTGAGTTGTGTGAGTTGTGTGAGTTGTTTGGGTTGTGTGAGTTGTGTGGGTTGTGTGAGTTGTGTGAGTTGTGTGAGTTGTGTGGGTTGTGTGGGTTGTGTGGGTTGTGTGGGTTGTGTGGGTTGTGTGAGTTGTGTGGGTTGTGTGGGTTGTGTGAGTTGTGTGAGTTGTGTGGGTTGTGTGGGTTGTGTGAGTTGTGTGGGTTGTGTGGGTTGTGTGGGTTGTGTGGGTTGTGTGAGTTGTGTGAGTTGTGTGGGTTGTGTGGGTTGTGTGGGTTGTGTGGGTTGTGTGGGTTGTGTGAGTTGTGTGGGTTGTGTGGGTTGTGTGAGTTGTGTGGGTTGTGTGAGTTGTGTGGGTTGTGTGGGTTGTGTGAGTTGTGTGGGTTGTGTGGGTTGTGTGAGTTGTGTGAGTTGTGTGGGTTGTGTGGGTTGTGTGAGTTGTGTGGGTTGTGTGGGTTGTGTGAGTTGTGTGGGTTGTGTGAGTTGTGTGAGTTGTGTGGGTTGTGTGAGTTGTGTGGGTTGTGTGAGTTGTGTGGGTTGTGTGGGTTGTGTGAGTTGTGTGGGTTGTGTGGGTTGTGTGAGTTGTGTGAGTTGTGTGGGTTGTGTGGGTTGTGTGAGTTGTGTGGGTTGTGTGAGTTGTGTGAGTTGTGTGGGTTGTGTGAGTTGTGTGAGTTGTGTGGGTTGTGTGAGTTGTGTGGGTTGTGTGGGTTGTGTGGGTTGTGTGGGTTGTGTGGGTTGTGTGAGTTGTGTGGGTTGTGTGGGTTGTGTGGGTTGTGTGGGTTGTGGGTTGTGTGGGTTGTGTGAGTTGTGTGAGTTGTGTGAGTTGTGTGGGTTGTGTGGGTTGTGTGAGTTGTGTGGGTTGTGTGGGTTGTGTGGGTTGTGTGAGTTGTGTGGGTTGTGTGAGTTGTGTGAGTTGTGTGGGTTGTGTGGGTTGTGTGGGTTGTGTGAGTTGTGTGGGTTGTGTGAGTTGTGTGAGTTGTGTGGGTTGTGTGAGTTGTGTGAGTTGTGTGGGTTGTGTGGGTTGTGTGGGTTGTGGGTTGTGTGGGTTGTGTGGGTTGTGTGGGTTGTGTGAGTTGTGTGAGTTGTGTGGGTTGTGTGGGTTGTGTGAGTTGTGTGGGTTGTGTGGGGTGTGTGGGTTGTGTGGGTTGTGTGAGTTGTGTGGGTTGTGTGGGTTGTGTGGGTTGTGTGGGTTGTGTGAGTTGTGTGGGTTGTGTGGGTTGTGTGAGTTGTGTGGGTTGTGTGGGTTGTGTGAGTTGTGTGAGTTGTGTGGGTTGTGTGAGTTGTGTGGGTTGTGTGGGTTGTGTGGGTTGTGTGAGTTGTGTGGGTTGTGTGGGTTGTGTGGGTTGTGTGAGTTGTGTGAGTTGTGTGGGTTGTGTGGGTTGTGTGAGTTGTGTGGGTTGTGTGGGTTGTGTGAGTTGTGTGGGTTGTGTGGGTTGTGTGGGTTGTGTGAGTTGTGTGGGTTGTGTGGGTTGTGTGAGTTGTGTGAGTTGTGTGGGTTGTGTGAGTTGTGTGGGTTGTGTGAGTTGTGTGGGTTGTGTGAGTTGTGTGGGTTGTGTGGGTTGTGTGGAGTTGTGTGAGTTGTGGTGGGGTGTGTGGGTTGTGTGAGTTGTGGGTTGTGTGAGTTGTGTGAGTTGTGTGAGTTGTGTGGTTGTGTGAGTTTGTGTGGGTTGTGTGGTTCTTTGAGTTGTGTGGGTTGTGTGGGTTGTGTGGGTTTGTGTGAGTTGTGTGGTTGTGTGGTTGTGTGAGTTGTGTGGGTGTGTGAGTTGTGTGGGTTGTGTGGGGTTGTGTGAGTTGTGTGAGTTGTGTGAGTTGTGTGGGTTGTGTGGGTTGTGTGGGTTGTGTGAGTTGTGTGGGTTGTGTGGGTTGTGTGAGTTGTGTGAGGTTGTGTGGGTGTTGTGAGTTGTTGTGGGTTGGTGGGTTGTGTGGTTGGTGTGGGTTGTGTGAGTTTGTGTGGGTTGTGTGGTGTGTGGGTTGTGTGGGTTGTGTGGGTTGTGTGAGTTGTGGGTTGTGTGGGTTGTGTGGGTTGTGTGGGTTGTGTGGGTTGTGTGAGTTGTGTGGGTTGTGTGGGTTGTGTGGGTTGTGTGAGTTGTGTGGGTTGTGTGAGTTGTGTGAGTTGTGTGGGTTGTGTGAGTTGTGTGAGTTGTGTGAGTTGTGTGGGTTGTGTGAGTTGTGTGGGTTGTGTGAGTTGTGTGGGTTGTGTGAGTTGTGTGGAGTTGTGTGAGTTGTGTGGGTTGTGTGAGTTGTGTGAGTTGTGTGGGTTGTGTGGGTTGTGTGGGTTGTGTGAGTTGTGTGGGTTGTGTGAGTTGTGTGGGTTGTGTGGGTTGTGTGAGTTGTGTGAGTTGTGTGGGTTGTGTGGGTTGTGTGAGTTGTGTGAGTTGTGTGGGTTGTGTGAGTTGTGTGGGTTGTGTGAGTTGTGTGGGTTGTGGGTTGTGTGAGTTGTGTGGGTTGTGTGGGTTGTGTGAGTTGTGTGGGTTGTGTGGGTTGTGTGGGTTGTGTGGGTTGTGTGAGTTGTGTGGGTTGTGTGGGTTGTGTGAGTTGTGTGGGTTGTGTGGGTTGTGTGAGTTGTGTGAGTTGTGTGGGTTGTGTGGGTTGTGTGAGTTGTGTGGGTTGTGTGAGTTGTGTGAGTTGTGTGGGTTGTGTGAGTTGTGTGGGTTGTGTGGGTTGTGTGGTTGTGTGAGTTGTGTGGTTGTGTGGTTGTGTGAGTTGTGTGAGTTGTGTGGGTTGTGTGGGTTGTGTGAGGTTGTGTGAGTTGTGTGGGTTGTGTGGGTTGTGTGGGTTGTGTGGGTTGTGTGAGTTGTGTGAGTTGTGTGGGTTGTGTGGGTTGTGTGAGTTGTGTGAGTTGTGTGGGTTGTGTGAGTTGTGTGGGTTGTGTGGGTTGTGTGAGTTGTGTGGGTTGTGTGGGTTGTGTGGGTTGTGTGAGTTGTGTGGGTTGTGTGGGTTGTGTGAGTTGTGTGGTTGTGTGAGTTGTGTGAGGTTGTGTGAGTTGTGTGGGTTGTGTGGGTTGTGTGAGTTGTGTGGGTTGTGTGGTTGTGTGGGTTGTGTGAGTTGTGTGGGTTGTGTGGGTTGTGTGAGTTGTGTGGGTTGTGTGGGTTGTGTGGGTTGTGTGAGTTGTGTGGGTTGTGTGAGTTGTGTGAGTTGTGTGGGTTGTGTGGGTTGTGTGAGTTGTGTGGTTGTGTGGGTTGTGTGGGTTGTGTGGGTTGTGTGGGTTGTGTGGGTTGTGTGGGTTGTGTGAGTTGTGTGAGTTGTGTGGGTTGTGTGGGTTGTGTGAGTTGTGTGGGTTGTGTGGGTTGTGTGAGTTGTGTGAGTTGTGTGGGTTGTGTGGGTTGTGTGGGTTGTGTGGGTTGTGTGGGTTGTGTGAGTTGTGTGGGTTGTGTGGGTTGTGTGGGTTGTGTGGGTTGTGTGGGTTGTGTGGGTTGTGTGGGTTGTGTGAGTTGTGTGGTTGTGTGGGTTGTGTGAGTTGTGTGAGTTGTGTGGGTTGTGTGGGTTGTGTGAGTTGTGTGGGTTGTGTGAGTTGTGTGAGTTGTGTGGGTTGTGTGGGTTGTGTGGGTTGTGTGGGTTGTGTGAGTTGTGTGGGTTGTGTGAGTTGTGTGGGTTGTGTGAGTTGTGTGGGTTGTGTGGGTTGTGTGAGTTGTGTGAGTTGTGTGGGTTGTGTGAGTTGTGTGAGTTGTGTGGGTTGTGTGAGTTGTGTGAGTTGTGTGGGTTGTGTGAGTTGTGTGAGTTGTGGGTTGTTGTGTGAGTTGTGTGGGTTGTGTGGGTTGTGTGGGTTGTGTGGGTTGTGTGAGTTGTGTGGGTTGTGTGGGTTGTGTGGGTTGTGTGGGTTGTGTGAGTTGTGTGGGTTGTGTGAGTTGTGTGAGTTGTGTGGGTTGTGTGTGTTGTGTGGGTTGTGTGGGTTGTGTGAGTTGTGTGAGTTGTGTGGGTTGTGTGGGTTGTGTGAGTTGTGTGGGTTGTGTGTGTTGTGTGGGTTGTGTGGGTTGTGTGAGTTGTGTGGGTTGTGTGGGTTGTGTGGGTTGTGTAGGTTGTGTGGGTTGTGTGAGTTGCGTGAGTTGTGTGGGTTGTGTGGGTTGTGTGAGTTGTGTGAGTTGTGTGGGTTGTGTGGGTTGTGTGGGTTGTGTGGGTTGTGTGAGTTGTGTGGGTTGTGTGGGTTGTGTGGGTTGTGTGAGTTGTGTGAGTTGTGTGAGTTGTGTGGGTTGTGTGGGTTGTGTGGGTTGTGTGGGTTGTGTGGGTTGTGTGAGTTGTGTGGGTTGTGTGGGTTGTGTGGGTTGTGTGGGTTGTGTGAGTTGTGTGGGTTGTGTGGGTTGTGTGGGTTGTGTGGGTTGTGTGGGTTGTGTGAGTTGTGTGGGTTGTGTGGGTTGTGTGGGTTGTGTGGGTTGTGTGAGTTGTGTGAGTTGTGTGGGTTGTGTGGGTTGTGTGGGTTGTGTGGGTTGTGTGGGTTGTGTGGGTTGTGTGGGTTGTGTGAGTTGTGTGGGTTGTGTGAGTTGTGTGGGTTGTGTGGGTTGTGTGAGTTGTGTGAGTTGTGTGGGTTGTGTGAGTTGTGTGGGTTGTGTGGGTTGTGTGAGTTGTGTGTGTTGTGTGGGTTGTGTGGGTTGTGTGGGTTGTGTGGGTTGTGTGAGTTGTGTGAGTTGTGTGGGTTGTGTGAGTTGTGTGGGTTGTGTGGGTTGTGTGGGTTGTGTGGGTTGTGTGGGTTGTGTGGGTTGTGTGGGTTGTGTGAGTTGTGTGAGTTGTGTGGGTTGTGTGGGTTGTGTGGGTTGTGTGGGTTGCGTGGGTTGCGTGGGTTGTGTGGGTTGTGTGAGTTGTGTGAGTTGTGTGAGTTGTGTGAGTTGTGTGGGTTGTGTGAGTTGTGTGGGTTGTGTGGGTTGTGTGAGTTGTGTGGGTTGTGTGGGTTGTGTGGGTTGTGTGAGTTGTGTGAGTTGTGTGGGTTGTGTGGGTTGTGTGGGTTGCGTGGGTTGCGTGGGTTGTGTGGGTTGTGTGGGTTGTGTGAGTTGTGTGAGTTGTGTGAGTTGTGTGGGTTGTGTGGGTTGTGTGAGTTGTGTGAGTTGTGTGGGTTGTGTGAGTTGTGTGGGTTGTGTGGGTTGTGTGGGTTGTGTGGGTTGTGTGGGTTGCACGGGTTGCACGGGTTGCACAGGTTGCGAGGGTTGTGCTCACAACTGCCGAACTTGAGTGGGCAGGCGTGGCCGTCCATGGGGAAATTGACGAGGTGCATTGGGCACTCGGCCTTGATGGTGAGCCTGGACACACACACACAGTGACACACACACAGTGTGTTACACACACACACACTGTGTTACACACACAGTGACACACACACACACACACACAGTGACACACACAGTGACACACACACAGTGACACACACACACAGTGTTACACACACACACACACAGTGACACACACACAGTGACACACACACACACAGTGACACACAAACAGTGTTACACACACACACAGTGTTACACACACACACAGTGACACACACACAGTGTTACACTAACACACACACACAGTGACACACACACACAGTGACACACACACACACAGTGTTACACACACACACACAGTGACACACACACACACAGTGTGTTACACACACACACAGTGTGTTACACACACACACACACAGTGACATACACAGTGTTACACACACACACAGTGACACACACACACAGTGTTACACACACACACACACACAGTGACACACACAGTGACACACACAGTGTTACACACAGTGACACACACAGTGTTACACACAGTGACACAGACACACACAGTGACACACACACAGTGACACACACAGTGACACACACACACAGTGACACACACACAGTGACACACACAGTGTTACACACACACACACAGTGACACACAAACAGTGTTACACACACACACACAGTGTTACACACACACACAGTGACACACACACAGTGTTACACTAACACACACACACACAGTGACACACACACACAGTGACACACACACACACAGTGTTACACACACACACAGTGACACACACACACACACAGTGTGTTACACACACACACACACACAGTGTGTTACACACACACACAGTGACATACACAGTGTTACACACACACACAGTGACACACACACACACAGTGTTACACACACACACACAGTGACACACAGTGACACACACAGTGTTACACACAGTGACACACACAGTGTTACACACAGTGACACAGACACACACAGTGACACACACAGTGACACACACAGTGACACACACACAGTGACACACACACAGTGACACACACACAGTGACACACACAGTGACACACACACAGTGACACACACACACACAGTGTCACACACAGTGACACACACACAGTGACACACACACAGTGACACACAGTGACACACACACACAGTGACACACACACACAGTGACACACACACACAGTGACACACACAGTGACACACACAGTGACACCCACACACAGTGACACACACAGTGACACACACACAGTGACACACACACACAGTGACACACACAGTGACACACACACAGTGACACACACAGTGACACACACACAGTGACACACACACAGTGACACACACACAGTGACACCCACACACAGTGACACACACAGTGACACACACACAGTGACACACACACACAGTGACACACACACAGTGACACCCACACACAGTGACACACACAGTGACACACACACAGTGACACACACACAGTGACACCCACACACAGTGACACACACAGTGACACACACACAGTGACACACACACACAGTGACACACACAGTGACACACACAGTGACACACACACAGTGACACACACACAGTGACACACACAGTGACACCCACACACAGTGACACACACAGTGACACACACAGTGACACACACACACAGTGACACACACACACAGTGACACACACACAGTCCTTCGTGATGCGGAAGAGCTTGTTAGGAGCGGTCATTTTGTGTAGACAGAGAGACAGACAGAGAGACAGACAGAGAGAGAGACAGACAGAGACACAGACAGAGAGACAGAGACACAGACAGAGAGACAGTGAGACAGAGACACAGACAGAGACACCTCATTGTGTAGAGGACTGTGCCGTTCTTCATGATGCGGAACAGCTTGTTAGGAGCTGTCATGTTGTGTAGACAGACAGAGACACAGACAGAGAGACAGTGAGACAGAGACACAGACAGACAGAGACACCTCATTGTGTAGAGGACTGTCCCGTTCTTCATGATGCGGAACAGCTTGTTAGGAGCTGTCATGTTGTGTAGACACACAGAGACACAGACAGAGACACAGACAGACAGAGACACAGAGACACAGACAGAGACACAGACAGACAGAGACACCTCATTGTGTAGAGGACTGTCCCGTTCTTCATGATGCGGAACAGCTTGTTAGGAGCTGTCATGTTGTGTAGACAGACAGAGAGACAGACAGACAGAGAGACAGACAGAGACACAGACAGAGACAGAGACAGACAGACAGAGAGACAGACAGAGACACAGACAGAGAGACAGAGACACAGACAGACAGAGAGACAGACACAGACAGAGACAGACAGACAGACAGAGACACAGAGAGACAGAGACACAGAGAGACAGAGACAGTGAGACAGAGACACAGACAGAGACCTCATTGTGTAGAGGACTGTCCCGTTCTTCATGATGCGGAACAGCTTGTTAGGAGCTGTCATGTTGTGTAGACAGACACAGACAGAGACACACACAGAGAGACAGAGACACAGAGAGACAGAGACACACACACAGACAGAGACACAGACAGAGACACAGCCAGAGACACCTCATTGTGTAGAGGACTGTCCCGTTCTTCATGATGCGGAACAGCTTGTTAGGAGCTGTCATGTTGTGTAGACAGACAGAGACACAGACAGAGACACACACAGACAGAGACACAGACAGACAGACAGAGACACAGAGAGACAGAGACACAGAGAGACAGAGACACAGAGAGACAGAGACACAGACAGAGACACAGACAGAGAGACACCTCATTGTGTAGAGGACTGTGCCGTTCTTCATGATGCGGAACAGCTTGTTAGGAGCTGTCATGTTGTGTAGACACACAGAGACACAGACAGAGAGACAGTGAGACAGAGACACAGACAGAGAGACAGAGACACAGACAGACAGAGACACAGACAGAGACACAGACAGAGACACAGACAGAGAGACAGAGACACAGACAGACAGAGACACAGACAGAGACACAGACAGAGACACAGACAGAGAGACAGAGACACAGACAGACAGAGACACAGACAGAGACACAGACAGAGACACAGACAGAGACACAGACAGACAGAGACACACACAGACAGACAGACAGAGACACACACACACAGACAGAGACACACACAGACAGGGACACAGACAGAGACACAGACAGAGACACAGACAGAGAGACACCTCATTGTGTAGAGGACTGTCCCGTTCCTCATGATGCAGAACAGCTTGTTAGGAGCTGTCATGTTGTGTAGACAGACAGAGACACAGACAGAGACACACACAGACAGAGACACAGACAGACAGAGACACCTCATTGTGTAGAGGACTGTGCCGTTCTTCATGATGCGGAACATCTTGTTAGGAGCTGTCATGTTGTGTAGACAGACAGAGACACACAGACAGAGACAGTGAGACAGAGACACAGAGAGACACCTCATTGTGTAGAGGACTGTCCCGTTCTTCATGATGCGGAACAGCTTGTTAGGAGCTGTCATGTTGTGTAGACAGACAGAGACACACAGACAGAGACACAGACAGAGACACAGACAGACAGAGAGACAGACAGAGACACCTCATTGTGTAGAGGACTGTCCCGTTCTTCATGATGCGGAACAGCTTGTTAGGAGCTGTCATGTGTAGACACACAGAGACACAGACAGAGACACAGACACACAGAGACACAGACAGAGACACAGACAGAGACACAGACAGAGACACACACAGACAGACAGAGAGACACCTCATTGTGTAGAGGACTGTCCCGTTCTTCATGATGCGGAACAGCTTGTTAGGAGCTGTCATGTTGTGTAGACAGACAGAGACACACAGACAGAGACACAGACAGAGACACAGACAGACAGAGAGACAGACAGAGACACCTCATTGTGTAGAGGACTGTCCCGTTCTTCATGATGCGGAACAGCTTGTTAGGAGCTGTCATGTTGTGTAGACACACAGAGACACACACAGAGAGACAGTGAGACAGAGACACAGACAGAGAGACCTCATTGTGTAGAGGACTGTCCCGTTCTTCATGATGCGGAACAGCTTGTTAGGAGCTGTCATGTTGTGTAGACACACAGAGACACACACAGAGACACAGAGACACAGACAGAGACACAGACAGACAGACACCTCATTGTGTAGAGGACTGTCCCGTTCTTCATGATGCGGAACAGCTTGTTAGGAGCTGTCATGTTGTGTAGACACACAGAGACACACACAGAGACACAGAGACACAGACAGAGACACAGACAGACAGACACCTCATTGTGTAGAGGACTGTCCCGTTCTTCATGATGCGGAACAGCTTGTTAGGAGCTGTCATGTTGTGTGCCACAGACTTCTTCCCGTTGCGGAAGAACGTATCGGGGGTCCAGATCTGGCTGACCATGAGGTTGTTGAGCCGAAGGATCTCGGGAGGGCCCTCGAAGGCCAAACGCTTGTCCACCCACGTCTGGCGGAAGAACACGTCCATGGTGTACTCCTAGAGAGACACAGTTAGATAGACACAGTTAGATAGACACAGTTAGATAGACACAGTTAGATAGACACAGTTAGATAGACACAGTTAGATAGAGAGAGAGAAGAACACGTCCATGGTGTACTCCTAGAGAGACACAGTTAGATAGACACAGTTAGATAGACACAGAGAGACACACAGAGAGAGAAGAACACGTCCATGGTGTACTCCTAGAGAGACACAGTTAGATAGACACAGTTAGATAGACACAGAGACACAGAGAGAGAGACAGAGACACAGTTAGAGAGAAGAACACGTCCATGGTGTACTCCTAGAGAGACACAGTTAGATAGACACAGTTAGATAGACACAGAGAGACACAGAGAGAGACAGAGACACAGTTAGAGAGAAGAACACGTCCATGGTGTACTCCTAGAGAGACACAGTTAGATAGACACAGTTAGATAGACACAGTTAGATAGACACACAGAGAGACACAGTTAGATAGACACAGAGACACAGTTAGATAGACACAGAGAGACACAGTTAGATAGAAACAGAGAGACAGAGACACAGAGAGAGAGAAGAACACGTCCATGGTGTACTCCTAGAGAGACACACAGACACAGAGACACAGTTAGATAGACACAGAGAGAGACACAGTTAGAAAGACACAGAGAGAGACACAGAGAGAGAGACTTTGAGAGACACAGAGACACAGAGAGAGACACAGAGAGAGAGAGAGAACACGTCCATGGTGTACTCCTAGAGAGACACAGAGAGAGACACAGTTAGATAGACACAGAGACACAGTTAGATAGACAGTTAGATAGACACAGTGAGAGAGACACAGAGAGAGAGAAGAACACGTCCATGGTGTACTCCTAGAGAGACACAGTTAGATAGACACAGTTAGATAGACACAGAGACACAGAGAGAGACAGAGACACGGTTAGAGAGAAGAACACGTCCATGGTGTACTCCTAGAGAGACACAGTTAGATATATACAGTTAGATAGACACAGAGACACAGTTAGATAGACACAGAGAGACACAGTTAGATAGAAACAGAGAGATAGAGACACAGAGAGAGAGAAGAACACGTCCATGGTGTACTCCTAGAGAGACACAGAGAGAAAGACACAGTTAGATAGACACAGTTAGAGAGACACAGAGAGAGACACAGAGAGAGAGAAGAACACGTCCATGGTGTACTCCTACAGAGACACAGTTAGATAGACACAGTTAGATAGACACAGAGACACAGTTAGATAGACACAGAGACACAGTTAGATAGACACAGAGAGAGACACAGAGAGAGAGACACAGAGAGAGAGAAGAACACGTCCATGGTGTACTCCTACAGAGACACACAGACACAGAGAAACCGTTAGAGAGACACAGAGACACAGTTAGATAGACACAGAGAGACACAGAGAGAGCCAGTTAGATAGACACAGTTAGATAGACACAGAGACACAGTTAGAGAGACACACAGTTAGAGAGACACAGAGAGAGAGACACACAGAGACACAGTTAGATAGAGAGAGAGAACACGTCCATGGTGTACTCCTACAGAGACACAGAGACACAGTTAGATAGACACAGAGACACAGAGAGAGACACAGAGAGAGACACACAGAGACACAGAGAGAGACACAGAGAGAGAGAGAAGGACACGTCCATGGTGTACTCCTAGAGAGACACAGTTAGATAGACACAGTTAGATAGACACAGTTACATAGACACAGAGACACAGTTAGATAGACACAGAGAGAGAGACACAGAGAGAGAGAACACGTCCATGGTGTACTCCTAGAGAGACACAGAGACACAGTTAGATAGACACAGAGAGAGACACAGTTAGATAGGCACAGAGAGAGACACAGAGAGAGACACACAGAGAGAGACACAGAGAGAGACACAGAGAGAGAGAGAGAGTTAGATAGACACAGAGAGAGAGAAGAACACGTCCATGGTGTACTCCTACAGAGACACACAGAGACACAGTTAGATAAACACAGTTAGATAGACACAGAGAGACACAGTTAGATAGACACAGAGAGAGAGACACACAGAGAGAGTGAGAAGAACACGTCCATGGTGTACTCCTAGAGAGACACAGAGAGAGACACACAGAGACACACAGAGACACACACACAGACACACACAGAGACACACACAGAGACACACACAGACACACACAGAGACACACACAGAGACACACACAGACACACACACACAGACACACACAGACACACACACAGAGACACACAAAGAGACACAGAGAGAGACAGTTAGAGAGACACAGAGAGAGAGAGAAGAACACGTCCATGGTGTACTCCTAGAGAGACACAGAGAGACACAGTTAGATAGACACACAGTTAGATAGACACAGAGACACACAGTTATATAGACACACAGTTAGATAGACACAGAGAGAGACACAGAGAAAGAGAAGAACACGTCCATGGTGTAATCCTAGAGAGACACAGAGAGAGACACAGTTAGATAGACACAGTTAGATAGACAGAGAGAGAGACAGAGAGAGACACACAGAGAGACAGTTAGAGAGACACAGAGAGAGTGAGAAGAACACGTCCATGGTGTACTCCTAGAGAGAAACAGAGAGACACAGTTAGATAGACACAGTTAGATAGACACAGAGAGAGACACAGAGAGACACAGAGAGACACAGTTAGATAGACACAGAGACACACAGAAACACAGTTAGATAGACACATAGAGAGACAGTTAGATAGACACAGAGAGAGAGACACAGAGAGAGAGAAGATCACGTCCATGGTGTACTCCTAGAGAGACACAGAGACAGAGACACAGTTAGATAGACACAGTTAGATAGACACAGAGACACAGTTAGATAGACACAGAGCGATAGAGACACAGTTAGATAGACACAGAGCGATAGAGACACAGAGAGAGACACAGAGACACAGTTAGATAGACACAGAGACACAGTTAGATAGACACAGAGACACAGTTAGATAGACACAGAGACACAGTTAGATAGAGAGAGAGAACACGTCTATGGTGTACTCCTAGAGAGACACACAGACAGAGACACAGTTAGATAGACACAGAGAGAGACACAGTTAGATAGACACAGAGAGAGACACAGTTAGATAGACACAGAGAGAGAGACACACAGAGAGAGAGAAGAACACGTCCATGGTGTACTCCTAGAGAGACACAGTTAGATAGACACAGTTAGATAGACACAGAGACACAGAGAGAGACAGAGACACGGTTAGAGAGAAGAACACGTCCATGGTGTACTCCTAGAGAGACACAGTTAGATATATACAGTTAGATAGACACAGAGACACAGTTAGATAGACACAGAGAGACACAGTTAGATAGAAACAGAGAGATAGAGACACAGAGAGAGAGAAGAACACGTCCATGGTGTACTCCTAGAGAGACACAGAGAGAAAGACACAGTTAGATAGACACAGTTAGAGAGACACAGAGAGAGACACAGAGAGAGAGAAGAACACGTCCATGGTGTACTCCTACAGAGACACAGTTAGATAGACACAGTTAGATAGACACAGAGACACAGTTAGATAGACACAGAGACACAGTTAGATAGACACAGAGAGAGACACAGAGAGAGAGAAGAACACGTCCATGGTGTACTCCTACAGAGACACACAGACACAGAGAAACCGTTAGAGAGACACAGAGACACAGTTAGATAGACACAGAGAGACACAGAGAGAGCCAGTTAGATAGACACAGTTAGATAGACACAGAGACACAGTTAGAGAGACACACAGTTAGAGAGACACAGAGAGAGAGACACACAGAGACACAGTTAGATAGAGAGAGAGAACACGTCCATGGTGTACTCCTACAGAGACACAGAGACACAGTTAGATAGACACAGAGACACAGAGAGAGACACAGAGAGAGACACACAGAGACACAGAGAGAGACACAGAGAGAGAGAGAAGGACACGTCCATGGTGTACTCCTAGAGAGACACAGTTAGATAGACACAGTTAGATAGACACAGAGACACAGAGAGAGACAGAGACACAGTTAGAGAGAAGAACACGTCCATGGTGTACTCCTAGAGAGACACAGAGAGACACAGTTAGATAGACACAGTTAGATAGACACAGAGAGAGACACAGAGAGAGACACACAGAGACACACACAGAGACACAGAGAGAGACACACAGAGAGAGAGAAGAACACGTCCATGGTGTACTCCTAGAGAGACACAGTTAGATAGACACAGTTAGATAGACACAGTTACATAGACACAGAGACACAGTTAGATAGACACAGAGAGAGAGACACAGAGAGAGAGAACACGTCCATGGTGTACTCCTAGAGAGACACAGAGACACAATTAGATAGACACAGAGAGAGACACAGTTAGATAGGCACAGAGAGAGACACAGAGAGAGACACACAGAGAGAGACACAGAGAGAGACACAGAGAGAGAGAGAGAGTTAGATAGACACACAGAGAGAGAAGAACACGTCCATGGTGTACTCCTACAGAGACACACAGAGACACAGTTAGATAAACACAGTTAGATAGACACAGAGAGACACAGTTAGATAGACACAGAGAGAGAGACACACAGAGAGAGTGAGAAGAACACGTCCATGGTGTACTCCTAGAGAGACACAGAGAGAGACACACAGAGACACACAGAGACACACACACAGACACACACAGAGACACACACAGAGACACACACAGACACACACAGAGACACACACAGAGACACACACAGACACACACACAGAGACACACACAGACACACACACAGAGACACACACAGAGACACAGAGAGAGACAGTTAGAGAGACACAGAGAGAGAGAGAGAAGAACACGTCCATGGTGTACTCCTAGAGAGACACAGAGAGACACAGTTAGATAGACACACAGTTAGATAGACACAGAGACACACAGTTATATAGACACACAGTTAGATAGACACAGAGAGAGACACAGAGAGAGAGAAGAACACGTCCATGGTGTA